TATATATATATATACACACACACACACACACACACACAAATACAAATATGTCTCAGAGAAGATAACAGAGTTAATTTAAACTTATTATATATACATACACGATTCATACACACACATATATATCTTTTTAACATCTTTATAAATATTTTATTTATAAGGGAAAAATAAAATACATCACTTAGTAACTCTATTACCTCCAGACATTCCCTCTAAGAATAAATCATTACTGCCATGCAAGATGCATTTTATTTTGACTAAATGTAACATTATTATAACATGAACCTGCAAAAAGTGAGAATATTTTATTTTTTTATTTATTGAATTTGTAGATTCATTTTAGGTATACAGTATGATTACACTCAACATTAGAAATTTGTACCTGTACATGTTATATCCTGCTTCTTATTTTTTCCCATTCCTCTTTCCTCTCTTCAACCCTTCCACCCCTTCTAATATACATTAGCTTTGTTTCCATCTTTTCTTCAATTATTTTTCTTTCCCTTCTTTCCTCACCCCTCCCCTGGTTTTCCTTCCCCTTTGAACATTTTTTTAAATATCTTAATGACTCTGGGATATTAAAAAGGAGTGTTCTAGTGTGATAACTGAATTCCTTGTCCTTTTATTACATAAATAACACAGGAGAAAGTGGGACTTTCCTTTTACTTATTTTTCTTCCTACTTTTTACCTTTCCCAAAAGATAACTAAATTAATGCTAAAACTTTAGATACTTTTTAATGCATTTATATACATACACATTAGCACACTTAGTTTTTGAGAAATTATATCACACCATACATGCTATCCTTTACCTTGTTTATTTAGCCCTAATAATTTTTCTTGGGGAGCTTTTTATATCACTGCAAAAAATTTACCTTTTTAAATGACTGGTTTTCAGTTGATAACTTAATCACTTCTCACTGCTAAGAGATTTAGCTTTCCCTCTCCCTAGTTTTTTAATTTTATAAACAATGCTGCAATGAATATCCTTAGGCTCATTAGTAAGTTGTGCTGTGAGATAATTTCCTAGAAGTGGAACTGCTGTGTGGAAGGGTATACATATATTCAGATCCGAAAGATTCTGGGAAATTGGCTTCATTGAAACTTCCTGACTGAGTTCTTGAGTGGATATTGTTGACATTTCCTGCTGTTGTCAATGTACATTACTCTCTCTAATGGAGATGGATTATATGAGTCTATGATGAAAGCTTAGTGTGTTTAGGATCTTTAGAATTTAGGGATTTGTAACTGAATCCACTACCACTCAGATCATAGGACAGGTGGACAACCAGATGAAAGAGTGGTGTTGTTAAGATTACATAACAAATCATAGTGTTCACTCCCTCAAACTTTGTTTCTGAAGTTTCCCATCAGTTCTTAGTTTCACTATTAAATCATTTCTAAATATTTACTTCTAGAAGATTCAAGCTGTGATTATCATTACCATGGTTTATTTTTTAATAAAGTATTTCTGTTACAAACATTTCCTTTGTGATTCTTAGTCAAAAATTATTTGGAGTTTCACATTATAGCCACAACTAAATTCGAAGTGACACGTGTACGAAAGTTGACTTGTATATTGGCAGAAAATGCTGTAATTTTTATTACCTTTAATAAATCATATGTGAAAGGGCTTTGCTTGGTAAGGCATGAATTATTTGTCTTTTGTCACTTAATGTTTCACTGTAGATAAAGTATTTTTTCTCATTGAGTTTATTGGTACTTTTTAGGTATACAGTACAGTAACATTCATCATTGGGATCTTGTACCTTTACATGACAGGTCCTGATTCTCATTTCCCCCCATACCCCTGCCTTCCCTTCTCCCCCTCCACCCTGCCCTGTTTACAAAAACTTTTTTCCATTATTTCTTTTTCTCATATTTTTTTCTTTTCCCTTATTTCCTTTCCCCTACCCTTTCCACCTCCCCTACACATTTAGCCCTTTTTTTCTATTTCACATTGTCAATTATACAATTTGGATCTTATTTACACTTTTAATTTTGCACAGTAGAGGAACTATTTGGTATTTACACATGTGTGTCATTTATTTCACTTAAGAGCATGGCCTCAATATGCATCCACTGTCCTATGAATGGGTCAAGTTTCTCATTCTTTATGGCAGAGTAGTACTCCATTTTGTAGAAAAACCACATCTTCTTTATCTATTCTCCAACCGATAAGCAATTGGGTTGTTTCCAAGGTTTAGCTATTACAAACTGTGCTGCTATAAACATGGGTGTGCATATATCACTGTGGTATGATTCTTTTAATTCTTTTGGAAAGACACCCACAAGGGGGATAGCTGGGTCAAATGGAACCTCTAATCCTAGTTGTACAGATAAAGTATTGACCTTAAACAGTATCTGTATAAGATCAGAAAGATACATAGCTTGTATGGAAAAACTTCATTCATAAATAGTTATAAATTCTTTAGATGTTTAGGATATTTGTAGAAAACTGAGTTGATACATCGTTCTATGTCACTCATCTTGACATTAAAGATATGATTGACAACTTCTTAGTTGATGGTGTTCACGAAGGAGAAGACCTTAAAATCCACCCTGAAACTGAATGACTTGTCATTCTGTAAGCCACTGCCAAAGACTTCCCATAGTGGAACAACAGTTCACAGGTGATGACTAGCATAAATGGAACCTCATCAGAAAGATTTCATATAGTAGAGACAAAGGACAGCATTGTAGGAGAACATTCCTAAGTTTAAATCTCAACTCTGCTACCTACGTGCTGTGTGATCTTAAGTTACTTAACCTTTATGAGACTCAGTTTTCACATTTGTAAAACTGAAATAATTCTATCTAGTTCAATTGCAGGCATTAAATTCATGAAATAACATATGCTAAGTACGTGATATGTCCCTGACACATAATTGTCTCAATAAATGGTAACCATTTTTATTACTAAGTCTATTTCCTTTTCAGCTCAAAGGGCAGAATCTTAACTTGGATGGGGAAGGAAATCTCTCTGTTGAAAAGAATGTATGTCTTTGAATGGTTAACTATTTAGTTTAATTATTTAAGCCTTCCAAAAGATGAATTCACATTTCTTCATTAGAGATAAGGTTATATTCACGAGTCTCTAAATTCACTGTCAAATGTATATACTTTAGTGACTACCTAAAGTAGGTAGGAAAGATATTATTCTTTTTGATATGGGAGCTGATAAAAATAATTAAACACAATGACTGATGTTAAAAATGAAATGAAAATTTGTGCATCTTAGTAGTATTCTGTAAGCTATTGCATATGTGATGAATGAAGAATAGATACTAAAACTCTGTATAAGTTAGGTTAAGTGAAACTTACATTTTGTGTTCTAGGTAAGTATTAGAACAATCAGTGAACATAAGCCAGATAGTTAACATAACTTCTCTCAGAAAGTTCACAGACTAGCTTTTGAAGCTTCTTTAGGAGTAAAGATAGTTTAGATATGCACTTTTTGTTTTCTGATTTTTCATACAGAAATAAACATATTTAAGATTTAAAAGCCTCAAAAATTAATTTTAAATTAAGTTTAAGAATTCTACATTTCTGTCTTCTCCCAATTTCAAGTGTGCTGGAAGAACAGAGTGATCTCAAATAAATAATAATGCATCTCAAAGTTCTAGAAAAATAAAAACAAGTCAAACTCCAAACAAGTAAAAGAAGACAAATAATAAAGATCAGAATGAAAATGAGATTGAGGCCAAATAAACAATACAGAGGGTTATACTCTGGTTTCTCTTCAGATAGTATAAATCTTTCGCCTTTTACTAAAGATTTCCATGGAGATGAACAACTCTGAGTCTTAATTTCTCTGGTGTGAATAAACTATAATAGTACATAAGATCTTAATGAGAAAATTGACAATGTGAAATAGGAAGAAAAGGGCTAAAGGTGTAGGGAAAGTGGGAAGAGTAGGGGAAAGGGAATAAGGGAGAATAAAAAATATGAGAAAATGGAAATGAAGTGTTTGTAAAGGGGGAGGGAGGAGGGAGTAAAAGGAGGTCAGGGATAAGGGGAAAAAATGAGAACCAAGACCTGTAATGTAAATGTACAAGATCCCAGTAATGAATGTAACTGTACTGTATACCTAGAATGTACCAAAAAACACAATTAAAAAAAAGAATGCAACAATACAGAGGATCAATGAATCAAAGACTTGGTTCTTTGAAAAGAAACAAGATTAATAAACACTATCTTACCCATTTTACCATTGGGACGAAATACTCAATGCCCACAATTTAAAGGAAGTCAGGTTTATTTTGGCTCATGGTTTCAGTCCATGATGGGCTGGCTCCAAGGCAGAAATGGTACAGTGGAAGGGAAAGGGTCAGAAACAAGTGATGTAACTCATGGCAGCCAGAGAGCAGAGAGAAAAGGGAGGAGGCAGGAAAGGAGATGTACCCATCAAGGTCATGCCTCCAGTGATCCACTCTTCTGACCAGGTCCTGCCTCCTAGCAGAACATTGACCTCTGAACTCATCAGTATTCTGATGATCCAGTATCCTTCCTACCCCCCAACCATGCATGCATTCTTAGGGTGACATTTTATAACTATACCGTAACAAACTTTAGCCAAAATTAACAAAATAAAGAAAAGACTCAAATCCATAAAATTAGAGTGGGAAAAGGCAAAACAAAAACAATAACACTAAAAGCTAGATAATTACAAGAATTTATTTTTTACAGTTTATATTTCAATACAGTAGATAATCTAGAGTAAATGGATAAATTTTAGACAAATATTACCTACCTGAGTGAACTAAAAGATATAGAAAGTCTAAGTGGCAAGCTGTGGTACACACACACACACACACACACACACACACACACGAACAGGGACAGGAAGCACTGGGACAGATGGGCACCAGACAGATGGATACCAGGGTGGAGGACATCGGGACAGGGCACAAGCACATTCCTGGAGGTGTCAATATATAGAAACAATAATATATGTAAGGATCATACTTCAAACTGACAAAAATCATATATGAAAAACCCATAGCCAACATCATATTGAATGATGAAAGGCATAAAGAACCCCCTTTAAAGTCAGGAATGAGACAATTGCATTAAAACAAACATTTAATCTACTGGAAAGTAGACTAGATAAAATACTAAAAGACCTAGGCCTAGGCAAAGACTTTCTGAACAGAAATCCAACTGTACATGCAATAACATCAGTAATAAACAAATGGGATTGCATCAAATTAAGAAGCTTCTTTACAGCAAAGGAAACAATCAACAGAGTGAAGAGACAGCCTATAGAATGGGAAAAAAATGTTGCCAGCTACTTCTTGGATAAGGAACTAATATGTAGAAAATATAAAGAACGCAAAAATTTAGAAACCCTTAAATGAAAGATCCAATCAAAAAATGGGCAACTGAAATGAATAGAAGAATCAGAAGAAGAAGTCAACTGGCCAAGAAATACATGAAAAAATGTTCAACATCTCTGACTATTAGAGAAAGGCAAATTAAACAACACTGAGGTTTCATCCTACTCCAGAAAGAACGGTCATCATCAAGAAATCAAATAATAGCAAATGCTCATGAGGCTGCAGGGGAAAAAATGAACCCCTCTTCCTTGTTGGCAGGAATGTAAACTTCTACAAACACTTTAGAAATCAGAATGGAGATTCCTCAAAGAACTAAAAAGAGAATTTCATTTGAGCCAGCTATTTCTTATGTAGGTATCTTCCCAAAAGAGATAAAGACATCTTATAATAGCATAATGTAATACCAATGTTTATAGCAGCACAATTCACAATAGTTGACTCTGGAAGTGGCCTATATGTCCATCAGCAGATGCATGGATAAAGAAAATGTGATAGTGGAAAAACTGGTATGAACCAGAGTGGCATGGCTGCAGACACTTCCAACCAGGACCCCAGCTTGACCCTGGCCACTCAGGCCCACAAGCCCCAGGCAAAAATTGCCCAGAAAAGAGCTTCACAGGCACACGAGCAACAGTCAGAGGCCTGCCCTGATAGCATTGTTAAGTGCACACAGAACCTAGCCAGAGGCTCACCCAGACACCAGCAACTGGGGTGCTCAGCCCCCAGCCAAAGTCCCTCACAGGCAACAGCTATGTAGGAGTGTGGGCCCTAGCCAGAGGGAAGCCTAGATATCATCTGAAGTGTGCACAGGCCCTGGCCAGAACCTCGTAAGGACAACAGGAAAATGCAGGGATCCAGAAGGCCACCATACTGAACCCAGGAATTGGTACAGGGGTGAGCAGCAGAGAAAAGGCCACACCATAGCTTGCTGAGAATTGAAGTCCATTGTATGAGCAAAAAGTCACCTCAACAAAGGCACAGCTGGCTGTATATGTTGAAATGAGAAGACACTTAAGTCTAAAAGCCAGACTTTCAGATCACCTAAGGCAACCCCAAAGGGCAATGAGATGGAACAATCTGATAATCATCCAGAGTTCCTGAACTGGCAACAAAAGAGGATCTGGAAAAAATGAAATCTGAAATAATTTTTCAAGTAACAGAGATTGTACTTATAGTGAAAGACATGATTAATAACTCTAGAGCAGATACAGATAAAAAAAATAGAACTGAAGCACATGATGGAATCCCAACATGGGAAATAAATGGAATCTATAAAACAGATGCAAACAAACTTCCTATTTCACATGAGATTTTTTAAAAACATGAAATTGAGTACCAATTTTCCAAGACAAACATTATCATTCTGTATTACTTACATGCACTAATAAAAAGTATGTATGAAAAAATGTGCTAAAAGACTTTTAGGACAGATGGAGGCAAGGTTGTCTTCACATCTAACCCCACTTTCTCACATTCATGTGGTTGAATAGTAAATACCAGTAATTCTTGAGAAGAGTTCATTTAAGTGGATCCAGAATATGCCTCCCAGTAATTGCATGAATGACTCTGAAAGTTTTTCTCAGGTGTAACACAATTTAATTCAGGGAAAGAACGTGTTAGGAACCATGCCCAACCTTTCTTGCTCAAGCAGAGTGACAGAAGAATCAGTAGTGTAGATTGTGAAGGACTCCTTCGTATTCCTCAGCATCAAATCAAGGGCGAACAGTTTGGATGAGATGCAATAGAAGCAGAACAGATCACTGTTATCACATCTCAGATTACCAGTGGAGGCAAGACTATAGAAGCAATTGTGAATTTGACTCACACCACTTTTCTTATTATTAAGTTTTCTAATTAGGTGAATGAGCTCTGAAGTTCATCTCCTTGTAGTTAAGAGCAGACTATGAAGATGATAACCAAATTACCCACAGCTCATTAATTCAACAAATACTTATTTAATTGCCTCTTTTTTCCAGGTAACATGCTAGGTGCCTAACAGTGGTGGGTAAAGCAGATATATCTTCCCTGACTTACTGTATGGTTTTTTTGGTAGAGAAAAAAATAAGTACATGAATAAATACAACAAAAATTGTGAGGATTAGGAATGCTCTTGTGGAACATGGGATATAGCTGAAGACCTTGTAAGACACATTGGGTGTTTCCTTCCCAGGCTCCAGTTCTTGTGTACATTATTCAGATATCCACCCTCCAGGAACTATGCTGCCAATATGTCTCAAGGAAGTCAACTCTGTTGGATCGTAATGTTTCTGATTGAATGAAAACAAAGTCCATCTTTATTAGCAGTCACTAGTTCAGGATAGAAAAGAGTCACTACTCAGGATTCTGAGTTGAGGAAAGATTTGCTACAGTAGAATAGTTCCTACTCCATGAGCATTATGCTAGTTCTTCCCATCTTAATCAGCTTCTTTTTTCTTAGTCTATCTTAATTACCTTTCTTTAATTTTATTAGAAATTCTCTGTCTTTTCTACTGGAATGTAAGCTTCATGTGATCAGAGATGTTATCTTTTGCTCCTAGCTATCTCGGTACCTTGAGCAGTATGTACTTGCCCATAGGAGACACTGAGTGAATATTGTTCAATGAAAAGATTGGATAATGCCCTGAAGCAAGACAGGGTTTATGTTGAGTTGGGCTGTGACCAAGCCATTTCACTTGAGTTATTTCTCCAATTTCTTTTCATGATGGATTTATCCTCAGACTGTGGCAAGGTGGTCGCAGCAGTGGCTGTTTTTCACTGGTAATATTGAGAGTAAGAGAGATAAGAATACTCCAAACATACTCTATAGGATCAAAAACATTTCTCACATGTGCACAGGAGACATGGACATGAACTCTCTTTTAGTAAAGTGATTTGAGTTAAATAAATGGAGAGAATGAAGGTCAAGAAGGAAAGGTAACTTATATAGAAAACTTTCATGAGGAATTTTATTGAAAACTGGATATTGGAAGAAGTTTGGGAATCAATATGGGTATTTTTTTAAACATGTGAAACTAATGCATTTTTGTTGTGCTGGAAAAAGCATTAAGTAACTGAAGAAGGAAAAAGAATGTAGCTGAGAAGGAATCCTGAACAAGTATGCAATTCAATACATAAATGGAGATAATAGCCTTCCTTAAAAATAGGGGGAGGACAGAGTTTATGACTACACGTGTGGATAGATTAGTAAATTTTCTGCTGAGAAGATGAGATATTTTTTACGGTTGCTTCTAATTTTTAAGCAAAATGAAAATCAGAATCTTCAGTTCAAATGGAAAATGGAGAAGATATTGAAAGTTTTGAAACAGAGAAGAAAAAATGTTTTCTCAGAATGTGAATTTTCTAAGATTGTTGAGTGATACTGAAGATGTGCTTTGGAATTTCAGTCACAAGCTTTAGTTAGTGTAACTAGTCAGATAGTTGTGCTAATCAATGGGATAGGCAAGCAACTGAGTTAATTATGGATCTGTGTTTTTCCAGTTAAGCTTATATAAAAAGACAAA